GGCTGCTTTTTGCACCACCCCCTTTCTATACACACACACATACACCATTTTCATTCTGGGTGCCATTATAACCATATCCTTTATTGCTGTTATAACCACATGGGCTGAAACTGGGCGTGGTAGCATATAGCTGTAATCTCAACATTCAGGAGGCTAAGATAGGAGGATCACTGAGAGTTCAAGACCAGCCTGAGCTACAAATTGAGCTCGAGGCCAGTGAGACCCTTTCTCAAAAAACAAAAACAAAAATAAACCCACATGGGCTGGGGGCTGTATGGACAGATACCTCCTCCTACCCATACCTCTTCTGTGTATGGTTGGAAATTTTTGGCTTTTTGTGGGTTTTTTTTAATTCAAAAGGTCTAACAAAAAATAGTAACAAAAAAATTAATCAGGACTGAGTGAAGGTGTCTCTCAGTATCAAGGCCCTACATTCAATTGACAATACTGATAGGCTTGTGTTAAACCAGACACTGTGGTACACATCTGTAATCCCAGCACTCTGGGAGACTGATGCAGGAGGACTACAAGGGTCAGCTTGGGCAATTTAGCAAGACACTGTCTTTAAAAAACGGTGAAGGGGATATAATTTTGTATGAAGGCCATGTGTTCAACCCCTAGTAACATTAAAAAGAAAAAAAAGACACTAATACTGCAGTTGATAGCTTGAGACATGTACGCCAATTTAGAAACACAATTATGCTCAGATAAAATCCTGTTATTCCAGTAAAATCTTTTTATTCCCTGATGAATAAGCCTGTTATATGTCTCTGTCAGACGCTATAAATATCCAGCTTGCTATATCAGTTCAAGGCACTTCTGGTCAAAATTAATCCACAAAAAATATTCCAATGGCCACTGAAACAAAGGCAATGAATGCTGGATTTAGGTATTCAGGGAATTAATCAGAGGTTAGGAAAAACATGGATCCTCCAGAATAGTCACTCTTTATCAAGAGACTCTCATCTGGCTTGCTGGGGGTATTAGAAGGTTACGGGAAACTTTATGCAAATACTCCAGAAATTACAGAGAGCTCTGTGGAATTGAGATGCTGCACGGTCAGAATCTAAGTATTCTGAGATCACAAGGCCATCCTAAGAATAAGCAATAAACTAAAGAGAAAGAGGACAGCTGAGACAAAGGAACAAAAGGGTACAAGCAAAAAGTAGGCCTACCTAGAATTAAGAGGGTCACCAAACTTACTTCATGAGAGAAACCTGGCATAAAACCTGTAAGCATTTCTCTCTCTTTCTTTCTTTCTTTTCCTTTTTTTTTTTTTTTGAGACATGGTCTTACCTTGTAGTTTAGGCAGGTCTTGAACTCACTGTGTATTCCAGGCTGGCCTCATTTCATTGTGATCCTCCTGCCTCAGCCTTCCCAGTGCTGGGACTGTAGGCATGTGCCACCAGAACCAGTATTTGCTTCAACTAATGCAACTGAAGTATTTCTGTGCAAATTCCCAAGGATAGGCCTAGGAGGACTTGCAACTACCTCTACTTCCTGTTTCCTGGAATATCCAATCTTAAAACCCAGATGTCATGCTGTGAGAAAATTTAAGCAGCCATTGGCAGAGCTATACAGAAAGGAACCAAGGACACTGATCAACAGCTCCAGCTTAGCATAATGCCAACAGACAGCATGAACACAGAAACCATGAATCAGACTCTTCAGTCCTAGATCTTCTCTACCCCGATAAGCTATTCCAGCTAGTACTACTGAAGTAGAAATAATGTTCCCAGGTGGGCCTCCTCCGCCTGAATTCTTGAACAATCAACTTTAAGCAAAATAGCTTGCTTTTTCAAACCAGTTAAGTTTTGGTGGTCAAAGCACAGCAACAAATAGACAAAACTCTATGTATATACAAAAATCTACCTGCAGAGTTGGGCATGGTGGTATATGCCTGTAATTCTAGCACCAGGAAGCCTGAGGCAGGAGGACTGTTATGAGTTTGAGGCCAGCCTGAGCTACAAAGTGAGTTCAAGGCCAGCTTGAACTGCATAGTGAGACCATGTCTCAAATCTGCCTGGAATTTAGCTCAGTGGCTCAAGTGCTTGCCTGGTAAACACAAGGTTATGAGTTCAATACCTGGTACTGGAAAAATAGAAAAATAAAAAATACGTTTTCGGGGGCTAGCTCAGTGGTTCAAGTACTTTCCTGGTAAGTGCAAGATCAGGAGTTTGATCCCTGGTACCAGAAAAAAAAAATTTTTTTTTTTTTTTTTTTTTTTACATAAAAGCGAGTGTGGTGGCACACACCTGTAATCCCAGCACTAGGGAGCCTGAGGCAGGAGGATGGCTTCAGGTTTGAGGCTAGCCTAGGCTACAAAATGAGGTCAAGGCCAGCCTGAACTGCAGAGTGAGATCCTATCTCAAAAAAGACAAAAAAAGAAAGAAAAGAAGTATCCAGAGCTGGGCATGGTGGTGTACGCCTGTAACTGCAACAGTACTCAGGAGACTGAGGCAGGAAGATCACGGTGTTACTTCAAGGCCAGGCCTGCCTGAACTACATAGTAAAATGCTGTCTCAAAACAGGAGCGGGAGGGGTTGGGGATTTAGCACAAGTGGCATAAAGTGCCTGCCTGGCAAGCACAAGGTCTTGAGTTTGATCCTTGGTACCAAAAAAAAAAGGAGGGGACTGGGGCGGGGGCAGGAGAAGGAGGGGGAAGAGAGAGAGGAGAGGGAGGAGAGGGAAAGAGGGGTAGGAGGAAAAATCTATATGCAGAGAGACCAACAACTATCACAACACAGTACAGAGCTGCAAATATTTTTAGTTCATTTCTAGACCACACCTTGGGGAAAGAATGCTGTAGGGGAGGAGCCAACAAATTATCATCACGGGCCAAAAGTGGCCCCATCTGGTTTTATTTTGTTTGAGACAGGGTTTCACTATTTAGCCCAGGCTGGCCTAGAATTCATGGGGAGCCTTCTGTCTCAGTGTACAGAGTATTGGGATTACAGCTGTTCATCATCATCAGTTTTTGTACTTTCAAGTGAGTGGGAAAAAAGTTAAAGCTAAAAATTATTTCTTGACATGTGAAAATTATGGAATTCAAATTTCAGTATCTACAATAAAAGTTTTTCTTTTTTATCAGTACTGGAGATTGAACCCAAGCACTCCTACATACTAAGCAAATGCTCTACTACTAAGCTACATGCCTGTATTTTTTTGAATTTTATATTGAGACAGTACCTTCCTAAATTGGCCTCCAACTTGTGGGCCCTGCCTCAGCTTCCCAAGTATATAGGATTATAAGTGTATGTCATCATCCCTGGCCACAATTAAACCTTTACTGAAACACAGCCATGTCTATTCATTTGCACACTGTCTATACCAACTTTCATACTATATTAGTAAACTGAAAAGTTTTGACAGAAACTATATAGATTGCAAAGCCTAAAATATTTAAAATATTTACTATCTGGTCCTTTAAGAAAAAAAAAATGTGCTGTTGGGCATGATGGCCCATGCCTGTAATCCCAGGGGGCTGAGGCGGAGAACTGCCAAGGGTTCAAGGCAGCCTGGGCTACACAATAAATTCAGGATGAGGCTGAACTACATAGCAAAACCCTGTCTCAAAACAAATAAACAAACAAAAAAACCAGGTATGGTTTTTTTGCGCATTCCTATAATCCCAGCACTTGGGAGGCTGAGTGAGGTAGGAGAATCATTGCAAATGCAAATTCAAGACCAGACTGGTCTACAAAGTGAGCCCAAGGCCAGCCTGCATAGTGAGACCATGTCTCAAAAAGACAAAAAAAAAAAAAAAAAAAAAAACTAAACAAAAAAAGTGCCAACCTCTACTCTGGGAGATGTTCGTGTCTTCAGGGATATATCCCATCCATCTGCCAACCACGTAGACTCACTCAGGATTGAGGGGAATTTTTAGGGTTCCATAAACCAAGGAAAGAAATTGATTCTTTACACAAAAGCTTCCATCCTGAGTCAGCAAAGACACACTTCCGCACCTAATGCTCAGAGAGGCCTTATTCTCTGAAATGGTTTTCAAAAGGATATGTATGGGGCAAGGCTGAAGTCTGGTTTCTTACTTAGGGTTCTTAAGTGATTTAACATATTAGTATAAGTAAATCACCAAATCAGAGCAAAACTATGTTTGTTTATATTTTATTTTTAAAAAATAAATTCAAGGGGCTGGGGGTTTAGCTCAGCGGCATAAGCACTTGCCTTGCAAGCAGGCGGTCGTGAGTTCGATCCCTGGTACCGATAAAAATGAAAAAGACCCAAATAAATAAATAAATAAATTCAAACTGAGCATGCTGGTGCATACCTGTACTCCTAGCACTCAGGAGGTTGAGGCAGGAGAATTACCACAAGTTCAAGACCAGTCTAGGCTACATAGTGAGGCCCTGTCTCAAAAAAGTTAATTAACTGGTTAATTAATTAATTAAATTTAAAAATAAAAACTAAGTTAAAAGCACTTAAAAATTATACTTTGGGGATTAACTCTATGGGTTATAAAAGGTGACATTTTCCTATACACAGGAGTATCCTTCCATCAAACCCTTATATTAACAACCAGTCAAGCATGGTGGTATATTCTGGGGAAGCTGAGGCAGGAGAATTCAAAGTTTGAGGCCAGTCTGAGCAAGTCAGCAAAACCTTACCACAAAAGAAAAGAAAAATTTTTAAAGGCTAGCCCTTTTTAAAATGTAGCTCATTGTAAAGGTACTGGGTTCAACCTCCTAGTATAGTATAATAATAATAATAGTAATATTAATAATAAATAAAATCACTGACCAAAAGACCTACAAGAGTATGAATAAAGGCTTTGTCACAGTGACACTTCAAAACAGGAGCAAAAATAAAGTGTAGGATGCTACTGTGAAATTTATGGGGACCCTCCTGGGAACATCAAGACAGACATCAGATACCAGAAGAACTAAACTCAAAACTGCTACAGCCTAGAATTAAGAAGGAAAAGGTATCAGACTAAAATCGTTTATGAGAATGCTCCCTCATCTAGACTTTCTATCCAGTCTCACCTTGATGATTTCTCCACTGGAGGCGATTAAATCTGTGGGAATAGTCACTTGAAACAAGCGTCCAATAACAGCCATGCCATCAGGAATGCCGACCACAGTGGGAACAGCCTCATGGAGGTCGGACAGCACAGAGTGCATAGATGCCTCCAGGTGGCTCTCCCAGTGTCTGGTGGCCTCCGAGGGTTCACTGGGCCAGTGGGCCTGAGCCGTGGCCACAGAGAGGAGGAGCAAGGTCTTCCCCCAGAGGGGGAGCAGCAGCCAACAGCCCACGAACATCCTCTTCTAGGCCTGAGTCTGCCACGCCAACGATCTCACCAAAGAAAGAAGCAAGTGATGTCGTCCCAGAGCCAGGTCCTCACCCTCTGCACACCTGCTCCATCTCAGATCACCTAGAGCCTGAAAAAGAAAAGCAGACTTCAGTGATCCCCATGGCTTCCAAATTATGCTCTCAACCCCAGTGTTCTGCCCAGAATGTCTACCCTGAGAGCCTGTGCTCTCCCATTGCAGCCAGTTACTTAACTCTGGAAATGTAGCTGATTAAGTAGAAAATACACATTGAATTTTGAAAAAGGAAGCATAAAAAGCTCAGCAGCATAAGCACCTGCCTGGCAAGCTCAAGGTCCTGAGTTCAATTCCTGGTTACCAAAAAAAGGAATGTAAAGTATCTCATTAATAATTTTAAGATACTGATTATTACATGATGAAACAATATCTTTTTTTTTATTCTCTCTGTAGCTGGGATTACAGGTATACACCATATGTCCAGCTGTACTTTATTTGATATATTTGCTTATATCAAAACATTGTTTTAGTCAGGCATGGTGGCACACACCTATGATCCCAACACTTGGGAGGCTGAGGCAGGAAGATCTCCCCAAGTCTGAGGCCAGCCTGGGCTACATAGTAAGTTCAAGATCATCCTGTACTACATAGTGAGACCTTGTCTTAATTAAAAAAAAAAAAAAAAAACACATAAGGAAATTTAAGTAAATAGTAACAAAGAGGCTGGGCATGGCGGTGCATGCATATAATCCCAGGACTCAGGAGGCTGAGGCAGGAGAATCACTGTGAGTTCACAGCCAGTCTGGGCTACACAGTAAGTTCAAAGCTAGATTGAACTATATAGTGAGAGGCTGTCTCCCCCCCACACACAAAAAAAAAATATTACTAAAGAAAATATTTTTGAAATTAATTTCATCTGCCTATTTTTATTTTTTTTTGTGTGTGTGTGGCCTACCAGAGAAATTTCAATGGCACATGCAGCACACATTGTATGTGATGGGCAGCATGGTTCTAAACCTAATCAGACAAACGTGGGACTTTCTATCAGAAACTGGTCTGGTTTCTCAAACACTAAATAGCAGCGACTGTTTCAGATTCAAAGATCAGAACCAGGTATGACTGATATGTCTTGACTAGATCCTAGACTTACCTTAAAACCAAAACAGAAAGAAAATAAAAAACACACCAGATTCACATACTGAGCTTCTATAAAAGCAACAGAATCTGCACACAGGCTTTATCCTGTATTAACTGTTTGTCTTCCTATTTTTTATTTTTTTATTTTTTGGGTTTGTTTGTTTCCTTGTTTTGAGTCAGGGTCTCATTATGGAGTCCAGGTTGGCCTCAAACTTCAAGTGCTGGGATTAAAACAAGCCCAGCTATTGCTCTTAGGTTATTATGAGACAGATGAGAAACGTCTGCCTTTTTCCTGTGCCAGCCAGAGTGAGGTGTGGTTTGCCCAATGGCTATCACACCCTTCCCCTTGCATCCTTTTGCCCCTGTCTCCTCTCAAAATAGACTGAGACAACTTGTCTCAGTGACTCCCTGGTTATGTTGTGGCCACTCTACTCCAGGATATTCTGAGGTACTGTTTGACTGTCAGCCACAGTGCCCCTTTTAGGCTCCCTTCTCTCCAGATACTGCTGCTATGGCCTCTTTAAAGAAGGGTAAGTGGAGCCACTCTAACATGACCAAAATCTTGGAAGAAGGGATCTAGGTCTAATAACATCCCCAGCTCCACAAACCTAGTAGCTGTGATGAATACAGTTAATCTTCTTGAATATTCCTGTTTCTGCCCATCATTTTTCATGCAGAAGCACAAATGTCAATCAAACAGCTTACTTGCCATCATGACAGTTGGGCTGGTGTGGACACCCAATCACAGGCCTGCATTTGGACCAATTAGCAGGGCCAAATTTGAATCAACCATAATGCACACTTAGACCAATCACAAGCCTATAGCTACTATGTACTATGTCCCTCAGTGTCTCCTGTTAATCTTAAGATGGGTCCCCCTCTAGTATGCTGACTTTTCTGTGCTGCTACACAAATCCTGTTAAAATAGTTTTTCTCTAGTAGCCCTGTAAATCTGCTTGTGGTTTCTCAGGTATAGTGGGTTCAGAAAGTCATAAAGTACCTGGGATTTAGCTCAGCAGCACAGTCCCTGCCTGGCAATCGCAAGGTCCTGAGTTCGATCCCCAGTACCGCAAATAAATAAATAAATAAATATTTCTGGTCCCAAAGGAGAAAAAATATTTATAAAGCGAAGCAAACTGGTTGATCAAGTTTATCTGCCTTGTCAATCACAGAGACCCAGGCCAGATGTGCAGAACCCAGTTCTCTCTCTCCCTCCCCCTCTCTGTCTGTTTATTGTGGGACAACCTCTCACTATGTAGTTCAGGCTGTCCTTGAAATCACTATGTAACCTTATCTGGCCTCAAACTCAGCAATCCTACTGCCTCAGCCTCCTGAGTATGCAGATGATAGGCATGTACCAACATACACAGTTTACTCTCAACTTTATGAGTTATGTTTTTAAGATTTTGAGAATAGTGTCAAAACTCACTTTGAAATGGTTTCAAGGGCAGGAAATGCATGCATGTATGTATAGTCATCTGGCAAATGTAATGATTAGTAAAATACTTGTTTGTTTGTAGACAGGGTCTTGCCAAGTGCTGAGATTACTAGCATCTACCACCATGCCCAGTTTAATGTAATACTTTTGGGCGAACTTTTTAAAAAGTATGTTCAGAGAGATATGTAGCAATTGCAGAAATCACAGAATTATTTATGTAACACCAATTGGTAAACACCATGCTAGTAAACAAAACTTTTGGACTTTCTCACCCTACACCCTCAGCAGAGTAACTAGAAACCTACACAATATCATCCTACCCCCACTGGCTTCAGGAGCTGCTCTACCTGGGCTGGCAGCCACATACAAGACTGTGGAGCACTAGGTACACACAATAGGTGATCTCAACCATCATGAGCAATTTTCTACTCTGGAAAAAAGATTACGTCCTTGTCTGAGGCCATCTTGCCAAGGAGCTAAGTAGTATTTTTTGACCTAAATAACACAAAATAACAAACCCAATATTGCTTTTGAAAGAGGGGGGAATTGAAGTAGGAGGCATACTCTAAAATCAATGCAAATTCAGGGAAGGAAGGGAAATGAGATTAAAAAAAAACAAAAAACAAAAAACAAAAAACAGAACTCTACCCAGCAAGCTCAAGGTTGTGAGTTCAATCCCTGGTAAGAAAAGAAAAGAAAAATAAGAGAAAAGCTGGGATATAGCTCAGTAGTAGAGCACCCATGGATTTGACCTTCAGTAATGAATGAAAAAATGAATACATAAAATCATTGAAGCCACTCAAAAAAAGAAAGGAAAAATTTAGGTGTAGGTCTAAAAAATATGTACAGGACTTTATAATAAAAACTAAACAACACTGGTGAAAGAAAACAATCTAAATGAATGGAGGAACATATACATTAAACCTTCAATTCTTCCTAGATTGATATACACATTTACAATAGGCTAAATGCTCACTTTGGTGGCACATGTACTATATAATAGGCTAAATAAGGCCACACACAGCTATCAGGCCCTAATCCCTGGAATGTGTGAATGTTATAAAGAAAAAGACCCTTTGACAGATATGATTGAGAACCTTGACAAGATGACATTATCTGGGTGGGAATTCAACCACCAGTGTCAGAAATTGTACACACACAATAGGAGATGGGAACATAAAGGCTGAGACAGAGACTGGAGGTTATGCAAACCAAAAGGCTTAAAGAGGGCATGCCTTAATCCCCCAGCTACTTGGGAGGCTGTAGCAGGGGGATCTCAAGTTTGAAGTCCACCTGGGAACCCTAGCAAGATCCTATATCAAAATAAAATTTAAAACAAGAGTTGAGGATGTAACTCAGTGATGAGTACTTGCCTAGTATAAGTGAGATCTTGAATTCAGTCCTCATGGAGAGACAGACAGACAGACAGAAAAAGAGGTATGAAAACTGAAGAAGCGCCAGGCTTAGTGGCACATGCCTACAAATCCCAGCACTCAGGAGGCTGAGGCAGGAGGATCATCACGAGTTCCAAGCCACCCTGGGCTACACGGTGAGTTTAAGACCAGCCTGAACTACATAGTGAGTCTCTCTGTCTCTGTCTCGCTCTCTCTCTCATCAGTACAGTACAGTACAGTACAGTACAATACTGCAAGCAAGCAAGCTGAGGAAATGACTGGAGTGACAGGTCTTCCCCAGGGCCTCCAGAGGGAGCTCAGTCCTTACTGAAACCCTCCAGAACTGGGAGAATACAAATGTGTATGTTATTTTAAACCATTAAGGCTATGATGACCTCATTATAATAGGAAATAGGAAATTAATACAAGGTTTAACATAATGCACATCAAAATCCAAGAAACTGTTTTTTTGTAGATACAGACAACAGCATCCTAACATATATATGGGATAGGCAATGAAACTAGAATAACCAAAACAATTTTGAAAAAGAAAAATAAAGAAGAGTCATTTAACCTAATATTATGACTCAGATACTGCCTGCTGAGGTGGCACATCCTGTAATACTAGCACTTAGCAAGCCACATCTCCAGCTCTTTTTATTTTTTACAGACATGTGCCACCACAGGCTTTTCTAAAATAGATCTTATAAAAATGAAGAATACCAAAGTGTGACAAAGCTGGGTAGCACATACTCAGATGTGTGAAATGTTAAGTCTGCTTTCTGCTAAGTGTTTGAAACACATCAAAAACAAGAGTTTGGCCAGGCAGGCATGGTGATGCACATCTATGACCCAAGCACCTGGGAAGCTGAAACAGGAAAATCACAGCCAGCCTGGGTTACATAGTAAGACCTTGTTTCAAAAACAAACAAACAAATTTATTTTTAAAAAGAAGAAATTTAAAAAGTGGCCAGTACCTTGAGCTTTGCCTCAACTTCAGGTACTGCACATCAACTTGTGCAGGTGAGGACTAGAAAGCCCTGTGAGTGTTTGGCTCATTCTGCTCTAGCCCTTTACTCTGCCCATCCCTATGCCACCTGAATAAGGTGCCATGCCCTGTTCCTGACAGCAGTCTGTGTGCATCG